AACGAGAGATAGAGATAGAGAAAGAGGGGGGGGGGGGGAGAGAGAGAGAGAGAACGGGAGAAACGACAAATTCACGGAGGGGGCAGAGCAATGTAAAGCCGTATGATCGATAAACGACCCCTTTCGTTTTGTTTGTTTTGCAGATTCTACCGTGCCGGTGGCCCTTTGTCTGCTGATCGAGAAGGGACTGTCTGTGGTGAGTGAATTTTTCTTCCAAATATTTTGGTATACATATGTATAAGGTGTGTGCGAGCGGAAAGTGAGCAAATCCAATATCCGGGTAATCGACTGAACGATAGTCGCGCGATACCGCAGTTCGTCCGACAAGAGAGGTGTTACATTGTAATTTATTGCCCTTAATAGCGCCAACGCTTCCGCATTGTATCGATTGGAAATAAAAGAATCGTCGCATTAGTGTAGTGTACTGCTTTGTAAAATTTCTCGTGCGACTAATTTCGCGTTCTCTCCTCACGCGTTCGGCGAAATGTGCAGCGTAACCCTCTGCATATTTTTATTAATGCACGCTGATAGCGTGCGTTTTATGCTAAGCGATCTTGAAAAGTTTCGTTGACAACAAAAGTGCTAAAGAGAAACGGCATCCGGGAAAATATGAATGTTCTTTTTCTTTCTATAATATTTATCATCATAATTCTCACTGTAATTGGAAATAATGTCTGCCAATATTTCTGGTCGTTAGTATCTTTTAAAGCATGCTATTATTTTTCTACGTATAGCGTATACCTCGCTGTTACTTGATGTAATAAATGAAGCCCCTGGGTGATTCAGGGCGCGAAAGAAAATTCTCACCTTGAAGTGAAGTTACTTCCGGTCTCTGTGTGTGTTCTTTCACTTCTTGCAACATTCGCGCGTAGAGACATCGAAGAGCAACCGTGTAAAAAATAAAGAGGAAGACAAAGTCAAAGAGAAATAAACACGAAGTACCGAGAGACACATCGCGCGCTTTTCAACTCTGACTCTAACCGTTTTATTTTCCTCCTTTCTCTTTTCTATAAGAGGAAACGAGGTACTAAACTAATAATGATATGGTAGACTCATGGCGAGAAACCTTCTACAACCACGGGAAAAAATGGAGAAACACTCTCTCTCTCTATCAGGAAAAACGTTTTGCTCTTCCCCGTGATCTCACTCAATCCTTTGTATCGATGAGCTGTCGAGTCTACTCTCTGTAAAACATCCTAAAACGTTACATCGTTCCCCGGCTTATCTGCGCGACGATTAAGCTGGCATGTCACATTCCACGGATTGTCCTATACTGTCCTACGGTTAAGAGGATAAATCTTTAAATTATGGCTGTATATATAATCCTATTTATTAGTAATCTGCATTGCATCCAATATAGGAATAACGTCGATTCGTCTGCATCGTTTGTATCAAGGAAAATTTATGATAACGTGATAGTACAAAATTAGCATCTCTGAATTACGAGATCTCATGCGTGCATTACGGACTCGCTCATTAAACGTTGACTAAACCTGCACTGTGGGTAAATGTGAAAATATATATATGGTACTTGTCATAAATTATGTAAAACCATATTTTTTTACATACTCCTTTTGTCTCAAAATAGCTTGAGTCTGATCGCATGTTGCGGTATGTTGCAGTTATTCTTGATTATGAGTTATTGGATCATGAGAAAATTGAAAAAAAAAAGACATTTCGTCCTTATCAAGATAATGTTAATATATTTCTAATTATATCTTATCTTATCTCTAAGTGAACATTATATTTTTCCTGATACTGATTACTATTCTTACTATTCTTTTGTCAAAACAACAAATAGATATAGTTGGTGCCGAAAATAACTGTAATTTTTAGTGTAATCAACCATTTTTTTCATACACGAAAAAAAAATCTAAGTAATACAAGATATTTATACTCGATGGGAGTGTTATAATGACGTATTCACTTATACGAAAATATCAAATATTTTTCAAAATAAGAAACATTTTCTTAAGACCTATTCATGAAAAAGATGATTTATTGAAATTAATTTGAATAAAAGAACTTAAAGAACTTAAAAAGAATTTGAATAAAAGAACTTAAATTTATGTAAATATGTTATTAGTATCCACCAACTAAGTATTTCATGAGAAATAGAAGTATTTCTCGTCTTCTTTTCATTTCTCTTGCTATTTCTTTCTAGTATTGCACGTACAACGCAATAATTACATCATCAAACACCGCGACTTAACGATAGCGTCTTTACTGCCCGCCCCAAATTGTCATGGTGTTCAGAAGCACCATTTAGCACCGGTATAATACGGATCATTGGCCGTAACTCGGTCGAAAGTTCGCGGACAAATCAATTCGATCGCTTTGACGACTCTACGGCCGGCAGATAAGGGTGGCGATATTTTTGCCCCCGCTTCGACGGCGGAAGTCGACGCGTGCGGTGCCCATACATAGTGCTTTATCTGCGCCGATAATACCGGCGGACGGACCGGGGAGGGTTTTAACGTCGAATCTCTCGCGCGCTGCTCCCTTATCGCCGTGTCGTAAAGGTGATCGCCGGTCGACGAAACGCGCGGTCATCGTCGCAGCGTGACACGTCGTCAACCCCCGGCCATCACGCGAATTAGCAGCGCTTTAACGGTGCCCCCCGCATCGTCGTGTATTCCCTCACGGCAAACGTGTTCGCCAGTTTCCTCCGTGTCACGCAGTTACTCGTCATGTAAATGTGGCGCCGACTGCGTTACACCGCCCGCGGCAATTTCGCGATCGAGCGTGTATCGAGAAATTGCCATGGATCAAGAAACACACGGTCGAACCCATCGATTGTTTTATCGTCCCGTGTAATGGTGTTTAACCAGATCGCAACGTGAAAGCTCGCGATTTTCCCTCGTAAACGCGGAAACTTTTCGCACGTTTTTATGTACAGTGGCTTGCAAGACAGATTGAAGTTGGGAGCTCATCAAATTATCAAAATTTAGAATCGTTATTATGTGTGTGAGAGCTTGTTCAGTAATTATATTAATTATTATTATTATTATTTAGTGTATTCTTTATTATATTATTATTACTGCGCAAGTCCATCGCCAATGACTTCGCGCCATCGTCAATTTTGACAATTTGTTGAGCTCCCGACTTCGTTGTCTTTTCAATGTCGGCTCTCTGTAAATTTACATTTCCGTATCAAGTAAAACAAATGTTCTTTTTGTTTTCCTTTCGCTACATTAGCGATACATAGTTCCGCTATATTTTCGAATGTGAAATATCTTCAAATAGGGACGAATGGAATTGATGATGAATAATTGGGACGAATGCGACACGCAAGTTAATGCGTCAGTTTGCACTCACGTTAATATTCCGTACGGAGGAATATTCACATGAGTCCGCGCATACGCGACTACTTAACGCGTTGTATAATCAGCTTCATACGATCCTCTGATGTTCGGTCAAGCGTCGAACTCGATTTGCCGGTTTCCTTTTCTGAAATGGAAACCTCCTAGTTGACGCGCAACGCCGGTGACATCGGCGCAATAATTACCATTCGCTGATTAATCGCTGGCCGCTAATCGACTAATAATTTGGCTAATGACGAGCGCATAATTTCAACGTTGTATGTGTAATTCGGCCGCGGCGAAATTGAGGCGTAGGTCTCATATGAATAATACGTAACAAATTCATACTCACAGAACAGACCTCGCGGCCGCGGTAACTTGCGCTCGCGTTTTCGCATGCATTTCCCGGCCGTTTACGTGATCGTGCCTACGTACGTCCGGATGAAATTGTCGGCTTTTATTATGCGATCCGCTCGTGCAATTCATCCCGCTCAATAATTTAGCGTGCGACTATCTGATGGCGCGGGAACTTATCGGGCACGTCCGCAAGTTGGACTTTTTAACCGTCACGTCAAACTGTGGGAATGAGACACGCGACGCGACGCTGGTAGTGAAGATACGCCGATGACTTCGATGAAAAACGTGTCCGTTTTCGGGATATAATGTTCCGACTTTATCCCGCGTTCGCGCTCCTTCGCTTATCTGCCGCTGAAAAAGGTAAACGCGAGCAAACATTTTGCACACTCGTGCATGGCGAAATAATTTGCACGAGGGAAATAATTTTTGTTTATCAATTTAACGCGCGCGGCGACAGCGTGGAGTAAGCAATTCCAACGATTTTAATAATACGGACATTGTTAGATTTTCATTGCTTTATTGCTTGAATTCATTTTATTGGCTAGAGTTGCGCGGGAATTGTGCGATCGATTCGCGGCGAAGGTCACGGGTTACTTGAGGATTTCAGTGAAACACATTGATCAATTTTTATCTGGAATCTTGTTATTCCTACGGCATTAAATTCGCTTTGGGCGTTGTCAGAAAATTGAAAGAATTGCGTTAGTGCTGTTCCACTTTATACGTCTTTCTCTCTTTGTGCGCACACAGTCGCGTGACGCGCATTTCATAAATATTTAAGCGTGTAATTTTTCGGATTCCATCCTGAATTCGCGGTATTCTTTTGAACGCCATAATAAGCGCTCTGTAAATATTTTACCAGCTGAAAACTATCGTGCGCTCTCTAGCAGTTATGCAAGTTACCTCTAATCGCACAAATACATCTTAATATTTAACTGTATTTTCTCAGCTTTACTCTCTTAGATATGTTCTCGTATAGTGCGAATAATTTTAGCTACACGGAAAAAAAATTACAGTTTCTTCTTAAAATATAAATTCTTTTCAATTTTACTGTGTTTCCAACAAATGTTTCTATGGTAATTTTTAGTACAAAATTCTCTCCGTGTACGGGAAGATAATAATGTTTGAACGTGTGATAACACACGCGCCGAATATATTTCCGGACTTGCGATGTATGCGGTGAACCAACCTTCCAACTATCCTGAATCAAACTATCCTGAATCCTAGTTATTAATATTAGAACTCTACTACCTCCTCCTAACTATTTAATCCCGCGTTAATTGATTCTTTTTGGGACTCGACCAGTATAATACGAGAAAAAATATCTAAGTAAAAAGTATTTATTCGGTGGATATTAATAAAATATTTACTTAAATTTAAATTTAGATAAAATAAACAATCGCTTTTTCGTGAAAAGCTTGGGTTTGAAGAAAATGTGTTTCTTTATTTGAAAAATATTTTAAATAGTATCACACTCATAAAACAAATATTTTGCTGGTCCAGGTAGAATTCTAAATGTCATATTTAAAATGTATCGCTGCTTTTTGCGTTTGCTACAAAATTATCTCCGTAGTACGTAAAATTTACAGCAGCATTCTAACAGTATCTGCAGGTAAATTTGTATCTTGTTACTAATTATTAAGCTGGTTGTAATCTGGATGTGTTCCACAAAGACACTTTCTTACTAAATTTTACAAATGGTTGAAATAATTATTCTGCCTCTGTCACCTACCAAATGGTAGATTGATTAAATACAGAATGTATGTGCGATATCGCAGTGGCTGCTAATATTAGGACCTTAACTCAGTTTCCGCCCAAAAAATACTGAGAAAAAGCATTTATTGTAAAAAATTTAT